CACAGCAGGCTGACTGGAAGAAGACAGCTTACTTCGACTGTACCTTACCACACTGGCGGGTACGGTGATACAGCTCCAGGTCCCTGTCAGCATCTACCACACGTGGGAAATGTTGGAGGAATACCTAGTTGAGCACCTGCCGTGCATTAGTCCCATCGAAACGTTTGGGTGTGAACTCACCTTACTCAATGCGGATACTCAGGTGGCGCTTCAAGACCCTGTACAGGAAGAACTTTGGAATACCAATCACTTCTGCCTGATTGTGCACGAATGCTTTCGGTGTCTAGAGAATAACAAGGGGCTCGATTATGAAGACTGCCCGAAGGCGATTCGAGTCCCTGTCTCTGAGTCAGGTATTCTTGAAGCCAAGGCCTTCCACGTGCACTCGACCATGCGAGTCCGCCACGCCTGCTTAGATGCTGGCTTTAGTACAATAAGCCCGCAAGGGTGGCGGTATTGCCACTCCCTGCGGATCGTTAAGCTGCCTGATACGGTTGTGACGTTAGGATATGCAGCATTCCAAGGATGTTACTCTCTACAGGTAGCCGAAATGCCGGGATGTGTGGAGTTTGGTGTTCGAGTATTCTCCGAATGCTGTGCGTTGGAGAGTGTCGGTAACATTGTCGATGGAGGCAGCCATCTTGCGATTGGAGCCATCATCAGTCAATATGCCTTCGAAGAATGTGCTAAGCTAGCCCACCTATCCCTACCTCATGTGCGAGCAGTGGTGGATAGTAGCACACTCACCTCCCCGCAGGCAGGTTTACCTCAAGGGTGCTTCTTCGCAAGCGGCATCCAGCAAGTGGAACTCGGAGAGGATACATACCACATAGGCCATAGAGCTCTTGAAAATTGCAAAGTGCTTACCCGGGTCGACCTTTCCAATACGGGCATTCATATCCTACATATGCACACTTTTGCGCAGTGCCACAGCCTAGTAACAATCCGGCTGCCGAACTGCCTGAGTGAAATTAGGGCAGAAGTGTTTGTGGGTTGTAAAGCCTTGGAGAGGCTGACTCTTCCGGGCAACATTCGTTATCTAGGATATAGGGCCTTTGGGGATTGTACAGAGCTCTTCTCCCTTGAGTATGCATGGAACAAGCAGAAGGCATGGCGATATGCTGCCGACAATGCCTTTGAAGGATGCCTCAAACTGACCACCCCTAAGTGGCTCCACCGCATCCCGCCTAAGGATAGCGATTGGATTGCCCCTTGTTGCTGACAGAGTTGAATGAACGCCTAGCAACAACTCCTAGAGTAGTGCCAGGCCTGAGTGAGCATGGACGGTTACCCAAGTAGCTGCCCCTCTGCACTGTGAGGCTCAAACCCCCAGTAGCTAGTACAGGCACAGGGAATAATACTGCCATGCATTGTGACATGGAGTCGCAAACGAGCTCACTAGTCAGCAATGAACGACAACTAATGGTCTACCTGCAGTTAACCTCTCTCTCAGGAGAAGAATACCAAGTCATTGTCGACCTCCAAGAATTTGATCGTTTTGACGAGTTTGAAACTGCTGTCCTGGAGCAACTCCCTACAATAGGAGGCACCAGCACATTTGGCTGCGAACTCACCTTTGTTAGACAAGACACCGGGCAGCTCCTGCGCAGTCCGGTATGGGACACCCTCAGAGACTGTAACCACTTCCAAATTGTCGTCCGCCAACGCAGTCATTGTGCAGAGCACAAAGGCCAGATGAGAAAGAACGCAAAAGCATTCCGAGTCCCTGTCACCCGTTCAGGGCAGGTGCTCCCCCGCGCTTTCACACATTCGAGTGACATCAGACACCTACAAGTTGAAGCCGGCGTACACACCGTTGGGGAAGCGGCCTGGCAACATTGCACTAGGCTTCTCATAGTGCACCTGCCCAGCTCACTGCTATGCCTGCAAGAAGGAGCCTTCCGATGTTGTTACGTGCTCCACACAGTCACAGCCCCGGGGTGCATTGACTTCGGTTGTTGGGCTTTCGAGGAGTGCCACGCGTTGGCCTGGGTTGGAGACCCAGACCAAAGAAGCAATCAATTAGCACCGCAGGCGAGGCTCAATGTCCGAGCTTTTGAGAAATGCCGTACCTTGCGGACAATTGGCCTGGAAAGGACTAAATATAACCCACGAGACCCGAATCGGGTCATCCCAGAAGGCTGCTTCCTAGGGACAGGGCTGGAAATGATTGATCTCCCAGCTGACTTCAGCTGGATCGGACCAGCTGCCTTTGAACACTGTACAAGGTTGCAGACGGTGGACATCTCCCGCACTGGCATTCAGGAAATCGTAGGGAACGCCTTTGCAGGCTGCGCCCAACTACAGTGCCTCAAACTGACCAAGACCCTGAGACGCATTGGTCGAGAAGCCTTCATGAAGTGTAGCTCACTAGAAGTCCTACACACTCCACCCGCCTTGCTATACATCAACAAGCGAGCCTTTGCTGACTGTACACAGCTCTGCAAACTCGTCCGAATGGGCAAGAAAGGAACTTGGAGGGGGACCCATGTAGAGCACAACACTTTTGAGATGTGTACCAAATTAACACTCCCATCGTGGATTCGGCCTCTTCCCAAGCCAGATGCAGTGAAAGAAGAGTGGGAAGAATTCATGATCAGTTGCGCAGAAGCCACTCTGAGTGATACGGCACGTTCGTAAAAAGCATGTGATCCACAGTACCACTGGCCCAGTGGTAGGATTGCAGAAGGTCTATGCCTTTCGACCCTTCTGCCGGCCTTGCTCACGCCACTGAGTAGATAGCCAGCTCCCCTGGCTGCCTTCCAAGAGGTGGTCAGGGATGATACAGTGTACAGAAAACTAGCACTAGGAACAGCGACGTTTCACCCTTGTGTTTCACCTAGTTCATGGGGCTTGCGTGATAGACCGTACTCTGAAGTACTCTGAAGCACTCGAGTGACCCAGAGCTGCAGCGGTACCTTCTTCGGCACAACTCCACACCACGCCTGCTTTTGTGCCTGTGCAACGGTCATGTTGGCGCTTTGATTGAAATGGATGGTCCAGCTTTGCGTTGAGACCAGGTCTGTTCTGTGTCATTTCTCTCATTGACGCTGTCACCTGGTCTCTCGTGCTCCTTGCCTCCCCCGCTGGGGGAGGCAGTGTCTTGCTTGCTGCTGCTCCGACCCTCACGGTGCCACCGCTTATAAGTTACATTGGTGGCATCTAGCCCCCAATTGGTGGCATCTAGCCCCTGATTTGATTCCCATCCCACCCACCCATCCACCTCGTGGATTTGGTTTCCATTCCCCTCTTGCTCCACTACCATGACAACACTGCACACTGACAGTGCACCCACCACAGGATCACAGGATCACAAAGCAAAGTGTACTTGATGCACTAGCGTGGCCATGCTAGCTTGGCAGTGTTTGCTTTGAATAAGTTCAATGTCAAGCTAGCAAAGGTGCTGCCCAGTCTCTATTTGAAGCCAAGCAAGAGCCCCTGGAATTTTTTTTGGAAATAGAAACTTATAGAAACTTATATTAAAGAATACAAAAGGGTAAAAGGTTTGTTGTGGATGAGGTGGTCGGGGTGTTTAAGTAAAAACAAATCTCATCAACATTGGAACCAAAGGACATTTCTCGGATCCATAATGCATGTGATCCACTCTCGGATCTAATCAATCTGCCACGGCTGCAGGCTCACTGGGGGTTTTGGGGCCAGGCGACACCAGTTCCCACAGCACTTTTCTGCGGCGCACAGCTCAGATCGACACCAAGCATAGAGACATGACAGGTGCCAGACACGTCTTCCAGAGAAGTTGAAACAAAAACTTTGTTGGTCTCAGACTCGCATGAAGCATCATTGAGCAAACTAAATGGCATTAAATGGCCAAGTGGTGTATGTCCGAACTTCTCAGGTGCCTACACATCCAGATGCCAATTTCTGGTCTTCAGGACAATCTATGTTTTGAGTGGAAATCATACACGTGCAAATTTGTTGACAACTTTGCAGGACTGCCCCACCTATGTCTCAAAGACCTCTTCACGGCCAGCAGGCTTGGTGTTGTGATGCATTGCACAAATTCGAGAAATAGAAGAAACATGTGGTAGTTTTTTACTTTCCAACACTCCACCAAGCTCCAACTCACTTCAACTTACCCCGCTCATCTCACAGCTCTGCAGGCCTTCCAATTGGATGGTGGCACGTCCGGTTCTCATTTCAAGTGTCAACTCGTGGTTCTCATTTCAAGTTCAGGGCATTGGATCAGAGTCACTGCTCATGAGCTTGTGGTCATTTACCTCTTTGCTTTGCATGGCAAGCTTTTTAGGTGCAGGGTAGCTAGGTCGCAAGTTAGACCCCGCCATGGATTTGGCAACCCTGATGAACAAAAAACCAGATGCAAAGAGACGACCTAGTCGACCTAGTGCCAAACCTGCTGCAAAAGGCAGCGCTGTTCGGAAAACCGTTTTGAAAAGACCAGCGGTTTCGAGAAGACCGGCGGCAGCCAACTCCGTGCCTGTGTCAGAGAATGCCAGTGCAGCCACCAGGTCGAATCTCAGTTGCAGCTGCCGTATGTTCCAAGAGGTCGGTTCTCACCACAGGTGAACATGTAACACAGTCCTTTGACACTTAGGATTGCCAATGACCTTGGGAGCTACCCGATGCCACAGGGCCCTGAGCAACTTTCGTTCCTAGGCTTTAAATCAAAGAAAAACAGTTGCATCCAGCTCTCTTTCATTGAAGTTGGTTACAAACCCTACTTTGACAGAAATGTGGCGGGTCTTGATCAGGACTTGGGCATTCACTTTGCTCCAGCGATCAGCGATTCTGTTTGGTGAGGAGTGTGTGAAAGACAAGCTTCGTGCCCTGCCCAGTATGGATACTTTTGATTGTGTTCGAAACAAGTGACTCACATAGCACAGCAGAGTTTGCAAGATCGAAGTGTGTCCAACTGTTATCGACAATGGATATTCCTTCTTTATGGATATTCTTTATAAACAAGTTTGTTTTATATATAAAACGCATATAATATATAATAATATATACTTTCAGTTCACCAGGCACCAATGCAATGCGGGCGTATGACCTCTTTGGCGGAGCTCTATGTGCCAGGCATGCATGGCGCATGATCGAATCTGCTGCCTTGGAGCTTTGGGGTGTCCAACCAACTCTGGAGTTCACATTCAATGACACTTGCATTGAACAATTCAAAAAGTAGAATTCCTGGGAGACTTGCAGAATCTCATGTACAATAGGTTTCAAATGCATTTCAAAGGTGATATGGTTTAGGTTCCACCCTCAGAGCGCACCTTAGGTGGAGAAGAATTGGGCATGCATCAAGATGGCCAAGGATAATTTTCCAGACTCCTGTATCTTTCCAGATATTATGGACTGCGTGGCCAACCCGCCAAAGAAGAAGAATTGGAATCCCAGTGACTTGAAGTTGGTCAAGGAATGTCACTGTGTGCAACACCGCAGTGAGTGCCTTGACCAATTGAAGTGAGTTCGAAACATGTTCACCTATCATGAGGACTGTTATCTACTCCAGAAAAATGGTTGAGGTGCTCCTTGAACCTGGGCGAGAACGACCTCGGGATCATTGGGGCACCCTGCATTCTCTTCTCCAAGTGCGCTGCCAACCTCAAAATAAACCATGTGGAAGGCTGCCATTGAACCCTTTCTGCAACAGGTACGGCCTCCGTGAGGGCTTCAAGACCAAGAACATCAAGGTCAAACAGGCACATGATACTGCAATGGCATTCCAGCAGAAGACCCCAATTTCCATTCACGAGAATGTCCCAGACTATGAAGAGGCCGGTCTCCATTTTCTGATGTCAAAAATGGAAAAGCACTTATATGTCTGTGTGTGTTGTTTGGAAACCTGGTCAACAACAAGCCTTAATCGAATCTGCTAGGCGTATTTGAAGCAACATCTCACGACCCATGACGAGCAGAAAGTTCTGCCTCAACCTAAGCAGTGCTTGACAAGTGGTTTGTGTAGAGTCCCAAAATGGTCTGACTCACGCCCAGGCTGTGCCCACGCCAGTTTGGGCACCCGAACCGAAGGCTTCGAGTTTGGCGCATCCTGTACGACAAGGACTCGAGGAAGTGGGATTGCCCTTATACTTTGGGGGAACTTGCCAACCTCCTCTTGGCACCCCTGGAATCCAAATTGAACCTGGATTTCAATGCCTATCTTTGTGCTTCACCTTCGGAGCTTCAAGAGCACAACATCAAAGAGCATGAACTTTCAGAGTTTAGACCCAAGTTCTTTTGTATGACATTGACATTATTCAACTATATTCAACTTGTTGTTCATCCAGAAATCCTCTGGGCGCACACTGGCCGGCCTTCAGGTCACAGAAGAAGCATTTGCAGATCTTCCGCAAGGTGCGTCCTGACAAGGCAATCTATGACTTGAGCGCGAACGCCCTCAAGAGATGCCGCACAGAGACAGTGGACCAGTGCATGCCCTGCTTGACCACAAGTTCACAGCTGTGGTCACATGTCAGAATGTTCTTTCAACTTAAAAAATATTGCATGTGTGCACTCAAGTATGTCTCTGATTATGAACCTATGCATTAGCATCAGGTCAGAGAATGCTGGGCGCCTCATGCTTGGGAAGGAGCAAATGCACATATTGGGTTTTCCATGCATTGCAGAAGCAGCAAACGCAGCTCGAGTTGACTCATGGCAAAATTGCTTCACTAAAGTCACACAAAACCATGGTGCATCAGGGGAAAGGACATGAACATACTTTGTGTTCGACCATTTTTCACCTTCGCCATAAGGATTATGTCTACTTGACCACATCTCAGAGTCCTCCCTCCGAAGCATCTCTGGCAATGGCATGAGCTTGCCATGTGCTGGTTTCATTATGCTCATGACAGTGCTATGCGTGTCACATCGCTAGCTAGATCTTTGATGGCAGTTTTTTTGTGTACCATACATATTAATTCGGCACCTGAAGCGATTGAAGCAACAGCAACCAGATGGAAAAGAAAACATTTATTCTGCTGTGAAAAGTATGTGTATGTATGTGTATAAGAAAGGGTAGGGATTTTCTGCCTGATGGTTCAATTGACAAAAGATTGGGTGAATACAAACAGCATCTCAGCTCAAGGCTGAAATGCCACCGTTTGGCGCTGAAAAGGAAGAAGCACCCAACTCAAAACCATTGCCGTTCCTATCTGTCCGAAGCCATGACCGAGTGAAGCAGCTACCATCTTGTGGCCCCTTTGGAAGTGAACCTGCAGAATCATTTTCTGGACCTCCTAGCAAGAAACCTTGCTCACAGCCGTCCCAATCCAGGCACCAGCCATCCACCCGCTCTGTCCTCTGGGGTGCAGAGCCGGAAGAAGTTGACAATGAAGTCAACATCGGGCAGCCTTTGTCGGGGTCGAGCAGTGGTTCTGAAGGTGAATATCGTGGGTCAGCCAACACAGTTTTTTCCTTGGGTTGGAATACTCTACTGGACTTGAAGAAGGCGAGCTTTTGGAAGGAAAGTGTGAACACTGTCATCTCAGACAAGAAGAAACGCAAGTACAACAACACTGAACGCGCAGCAATGGCTAGCTATAGTCGGCAGAACTCTGCAGGGTATTTTAAAGAGAATGGTGTGGATGTAGCACGACTTCAGAAACTCTTTGCATTGCCAACCTGCCAATGCGCCTTGGTATTGGGATGTTTGCCCATTTTGTGATATGATGAAACACCCCACACCAAGGCCCAGGGTTTTCTAGCAAATTTTCTTCATAGGGTTCACTCGGCCACCACTCAGGTGCCAATGGGGAATGCTTCAAGCAGTTCAAGAACTCAAAGGACCTGCCGGGCTTTCTGAAGACTTTCTGGGACATGCAGAAAAGTGATCAAGACTCCATGGTAACTGGGTTGTGCCATCAAGACATGTTTCCTTTTTGTTGGTAATTTCGTAAACCCTGAAAGAACAGAACCGAACCCCAAAGTATCAATCATGTGGCATCCCAGGTTCAGCTTTGCTTAGCCACCACCAGTGAATCTAGAGACAAAAAGTACACCCTTCTGGAGAAGCCTGTGGGCTTCAAGTGCCTTGCAGCGCTGCTGGGCGTCGGGACTGGTCGGCTACGGAAAGCAGCCACAAGCACCCCAGACCTGAGACGCGGAACTCGTCCCTACATGAGCCGACCTGCCACATGGAGTGTGGATGGTTTTCTGCGTGTGGCATACGACTCAGTGGCAGAAACTATGCCAGATGAGTTTCTTACTGTACCAACCATGGGTTTTTATTTTGTAGTGGATTTTTGGGTTGAATATATTATATATATATGTGTGTGTCTATGTGTTTCCCAAAGCAGCCAATGCATATACCTGCAGGTTCATCAGACGTGGCAGAGCTTCCCAGAAGAAGAAATCAGATCTTGACAGTGATGGGGAGTCTGGGTCTGAAGAAGTGGCTTCTGACATTGAAAATGTCGAGGAGATTCGTGAGTGGATGTCTACCACATCTGCCAAAAGCCCACTTCTTCCCAATCAGGTTCTTGTGCGGAAATACCTAGCACCAGGGAATGTGATGGAGCTTTATGAAGAGTACAAGGCTACCCAGCAAATGCTTGGAGGAAAGCATGTGTCGTACCTGATCTTGGAATCAAAACCATCTGAGTTTTGGGGGGTTTTGAACTGGTTATGGCAATAAGTTGGAAGTGGTGTGTTTCCCAATCAACAAGAGTCTGCCTAACCGGAACCATCCTCAGGTACACCACGTTCAACCATGTCTACAAGGAGCGCTGGCAAGACATCCTTCGATTTCGATCTCGGTCCCTATTCACTACTTGTGAAGTACGCTGCTCCTTCAAAACACAGTTGCAGGATAGGAAACTCAGTTTCGAACAAAAACTGGGATGTTTGCAGGGCTACAGGGCCCATCTACACGACCAGTATTGCGATCGTACATCAATTTGGACACTGCAGTTTGAGGGTGCAGATCCCCAATCTGGAATACTAATGATTTGCACAGATGGCCTTGATCAAGCCAAATTTGCCCTTCCAAGGGACCCACAGCTTCGCGCCAATGCTGGGTTGTCCCTGGGTAATAAAGTAAAAAGAAGTTTCTGTCGAATTCTATTTCTGTTGCACCCACCCACCCAAAAAAGCAGCTTCCCCCACACCAGCACCACTTGCCTGGTCGACAGTCTCAGGGCGAAACACCAAAGACCTCGCGTGAAGATCCACGGAGTCTGGTGTTATGGCTACACCCTCAATATATCAGTCATGGACGAGTGTAGTCGACATGACAGCAGCGCAATCCTAGAAATGATTTCGAGGGCAGTCGAGGACGCAACTTGGGTTTCCTTTTGTACAGGTTTCCTTCAGTTTATTTATGTAGTCAAAGCCAAAGCGATGGCCTTTTGTTGAACATCCTCGGAAATGTAAGTTCAAAAGAAATGATTAAGTAAGGTGATGGCCATTTGTGATCGGGATCACCGACCACGACCGACCACTCTCATCGTCAACGCTGCTCACAGTGATTAGTGTTTTGCCTCTTTATATACGCCTTTAGGTTTCGATTATTTAGTGTTTGTATGTCTCTGTCTTCGACAAACAGCTCAATCTTTCAGGCTGACAACACAGTCAGAGAGGCTAAAAATCAACACGTCCTTACATACTTGCACCTGGCAGTGGGGAAGCATTTGTTTCGGAGTGCGTGTTTGTGCCACCTGCGAAAATCGCATACCCATTGCAGGGTGGGACATTCGGCTGTGTTTGGTGTAACATTGTCTTGTTGATTCTTTACCACCAATTAGATACATAGTGGTTAATGAGCAGTGCTCTTCTTGGAAAGCAAACCAAGCTAAGATCAGCTCTGGGGAATCATATCAAGACGGGTGGCGCATGAAAGTGGCCTACTGGATCCAAGTGATGTGATCGATGTCATTTCCTCAGAACTTTCCAAGCCCACCATCAAAGATTGGATTGGACATCATACCCAGGTTTCTGTCAAGAAACTCGATGCCAGCAGGAGCTGGCGATCGCACTTGCCGGGAGCAGGGGTGAAGCTGGAGGGGGGGCTACTGAAAGACCAGTCTGGCAACCATTTATTCCTTTGCATGCAGCGCCGAGGACCAGGGTCTAGGAAAGAAAACATATAAACATAAAGAACTCATGTCTCGAAGCGAATTGTGTTTCAACCGACCCAACCGCAGTTGATTTGAGAATCCCGGCCCTGAGATCTTCCAGAAGCCTTGGCCGGCATTGTGAACTCCGGCAGCTACAATGGGCCGCCCCATCCACACGATGTCATATCGATGATCAAGAAACACATTGCGGACTCAGATCTATCACAGCCACCGCTCTTGGTTATGACACACAACCGAGCTTTGGCCATGGGGATGGTTGCGCCCGACAAGTCACTCAGACCAACTCTTCTCAAGATTTTGATGTTGAAAGTTCTTGGGACAAAGTTGGGTTCTCTCAAAGCGCATCATCATCAAATAGATGGAAACTGTGTTTCTCATGATTTTTCATTCTACTTATTATATCTTATTATATAACCCTGGATCGATAACAGGGTGAAGATTACAAGAAACCATCTTGAGTAGAATCATCAGTTTCACAAGGTGGCCCAACAACCATTCTGGCCAATGGGCATCTGGGATGAACAAGCTTGCAGAAGCAGTTCAGTTCTACTACGGGCGCCAGTATGACAGAGCTGTTGCCTATCTCCAGAGTTTGGCAGCCAATGCTTTTTGGACAGCCGCTGAGTTTCCGGACATGCCGTTTCACACCCAGCGCCCCCAACCTCAAGGCATGGGGGCTCCAAGATACATTCTTCATCAGGCAGTGCTAAATGCATTGGCCCCATCGATCCCTCTAAGAGCGATATTTAGTCGCAATGCACCTTAAGGATTAGAACCCAGATTGGACTCTGTGTGCGCTTAAGGCGCCCAGGGGATTGCAGCTCCCGTCCAACAAAACAGCCCAGTGGGAAGGTGGGGAAGGGGAACAGTGCAACTCAGAGGACTTCCAAGGGAAACTGAATCTTATGTTCACAAGTGTCCAAGTACAAGTGCTCTTTACAGAACCCACAGCTCTCAGGTCAACTGTTTTCGGGGCAGCGCCACTTGACGGTCAAAGATTTTTGGGGCACCACCGCTCGACGCATCGAAGGTTTTCGGGGCACCGCCGCTTGACAGGTCAAAGGTTTTCGGGGCACCGCCGCTTGACAGGTCAAAGGTTTTCGGGGCACCACCACTTGACAGTCAAAGAATCAAAGGTTTTCGGTGCACCACCACTTGACGGTCAAAGGTTTTCGGGGCACCACCACTCATCGGTCAACAGTTTTCGGTGGACTGGTTGGCAACGAGTCGGCTCAAAACAGAGGAGTTTGAAAGATGTGTCACTGTGGTGGGTACAGGGAGTGGTACAGGGTTTTTGTGGCTTCATCTCTTCTGAGTCCATTGATTTTTTTCCAAAATCCATAAACAAAATCGATGGACTGGTTGTGGTCTAGTGCATTGAAACTAATTGGAAAAAAGACGGAGCTTCAATTTTTTTCAACTTCCAACATAAAAATTGAAGCTCGGAATTTTTTACATAAAGGATCAGGGCACCGGCTGTTGACCAGTCAACTGAAACAGAATCAAGATCTTGAAAACGAAGTCGGTGCACTCAAAGGACATCAAACTGTGTCTGGACAGTCTTTTTGGGATCAAAGGGTTCCGTTGGGGCGCGGTCATGACAGTGACTCCGTTCAAAGCGAAGGCCGAGGAACGTGCCAAGTTGACAAAGAAGGATGAAGAGAAGGAGGATGTAGAGCGTCCTGCCAAGCGCATGTGCAGCCAGTATGAGAAGCAAATGGCCAAGATGTCGGGCGGTGATTTGCAAACTGTGAAGGATACATGATTGTTTGGCCAAAAAATGTTTTAAACCATGTCTCTTGACTATGTCCTCTCAGTCTCATGTCTCTTGACTATAACCTCATAGTCTCATGTCTCTTCATCCCTTGCACCAGGATCTCTTGGAATATGTGGCTTCCTACCGTGGTGAGCAGGCGTCCCCTGGTCAACACCCTGCAGCATTGGTGACCGAGATCTTTGCTAGTGACAGTGATGACCACAATACGCTTCACTGCCAACAGCTGGAGGGTTGGTACCATGACTACGCCAAACTTCGCAACATGACCTACCTCTTCAAGAAACCGGATTCTGTGGTTTCTAAGCTGAAAAAATGGGTATTGAACTATGGTGTTCTCCCTGCAACACCACAACCACCCAAATTGACCATGTGATAGTTGACTTCTGAAAACAATTGATATTCTTCCGGAGTCGACTTATGCAACCAAGGTGGTGGATCCATCGATGGATGGAGAGACCATCAAGGTTCCAATCACCTGCCTCAAGCGCCTGGCTATTCAACTGTTACATTTTTTCTTTAGGGGTGCTGAGAAGCTAGTTGCGGGTGCTGACCACACCAACATCTTGCCATAGAAACTTCCCCCAAAAAAACAGTGACACCGGTTAGTCAGAGAAACTTCCAAGTTACTTTTTGATCTTGTACACTTTGTCGATCTTTGAAGCTGGTATACTTGCTGGTGAGCTTCAAGCTAGTATATATACTTGCTGGTCACTCTTTTCATATCTTTTGATATTTTTGGCATTTTATTCATCAGGTTCTGCCCTCCAGAAGACGGCTTCCCAGTCACTGAAGACTGGATATCCACGTTCGAGTCGATGATGTTTGGTGGAGTGGAGCTCGGCCGAGAGCCATTGGATGTATCACTTGACTTCCCAGCAGGCTTGGGGTGTGCCAAACCAAACTGTGTTACAAGTTTTTGTTTTGGTGTTTGCTGGGTGATCCCTGCAGATACATGCCGGCCATTGTCAGTGCATTGCATTGACCAGATCAAGGGATGGACCCGATCCAGCGTGGTCATGACTTTCCTGATCGCCGCTTCGGAACTGGATTTGACAGATCCACAGTCGCATGAGCTTCTGAAGCCTTTGTACCCAGTTCTGGACAAGGCCTTCATGATCCCAGTACATGTTCCCAGCCTCAATGATATATACTTTAACATTTTTTGCAGGTTTTTGTTTGCAGCCACCAAACCAAGACTTCACCATTAGTGTGCCAATTTTTGAATGACCAGGTTGCTTTCAACATGGGGGCCACTGATCGCAGCTTCAGAAATATAACTTTGTCCTTCAGGGGGAGCGAGCGACAGGCGCCCAGCACCTTGCAGCTTGCATTGCGATTTTCACGGGTGCTGGAAATCTATGAGCATGATGGAAGGCATCACGCAGATATGACCACAGAGCAACGATTGCAAGATGTCGTCACAGAGTTCAACCAGTCATCTGGTCTTCAGGCAAAGCACCGAATTGAAGGCGATCGGCTTGGTGCAGTTTATAACCTTTTGACTGGCACAACAGATGTGCCTCGTCTTTGCCTGACAAATGCTTTGATTGATTTTTGGGTGATGTTGCCCATTCATTGTTTTTGGGTGATGTTGCCCAAACATTGTTTTACTGGTCATGTTTTATCAATCCCTTGCAGATCTCAGGAATCCCGTGAGATCATCCGGGCCCACCTGGACGCCCACAAGTGGGCCTACTGTGCTTTTAGTACTGAACAATTCAAGGGGGCCAGATGGATGCTTACAGCAAGCCCAAAGGCTTCATCATGCCCACCAGAGCTGCGCAAGTGCCTCACTGTCACGGCCCACAGTCAGTGTCTTCATCTGAGACTCGTCATCAAGATGTTCCTCGACCAGGGCCGCCGCCTTCGACCTTCAGCGCGGGCCAGGGCTCGGCTGAGCTCTGGCCATTTTGACCAGATTTGCGACTTCGCTTGTGTGTTCTCCCATGTTTGGCAAGAAGCTCGCCTTCTAGCAAGCTGGAATGAGGAGAAGGATCAAGCCATGGAGAAAGCTTTCTTCATGCGGATTCTTGGTTTTCCTTTGTTCAAGATGTCATTTTGTAATTTTTTGAAGTCAGCACCAGGGTTGAAAATGATTGTTTGCAACTTTTGTGTATCATTTGTTTGTGTGGCCACATCTCAGGGACTATTCGGCAGAGATTGAGGCAGCAGTGACCGCCAAGCTGAGCTCCTGGAAGCCACAGCACTTGTCTCTATGGGTGGACCTGGTCGAACCACCAGCTGGACCAACAGCAGTGGCATCAGCTGTGGAGATTGTTGAGATGGAAGATGCGGCCCAAGCGGCCCGTTTCCGGGAGGTCTCAGCCAAGCTCTCTCAGGACATTGCATCGATGACTGCTTTCAACACTGCATCGAATGAGACCAGCAGACGCAGCCATGTCGTGAATGTCATGCATCAAAAGGCCCAAATGACAGTGGGGAAGCAGTTTCTCATTTTTGCATTGCGATTTTCCAATTTTTTGCCTTTTGATTTTTTGCATATTCCTTTGCACTTTTAGAGTATGCAAAAAAAACCTTGAGACATATGCTTTTTTGCATTCACTTTGATAGCCCAAAGGCTTTGCGAGACCTTCATGGAGAAGCAATGCAGAATCAGTTTGGTCACCAAGAAGGATGGCTTTGACACTGGCTTGGATAGCTTCATCCGCTCAGCAGCTGCTAGCCACAAGGTGCGGTGTTGAAAAAATAGTTCTGTCCTCAATGGTTTGAAAATGATTGAAACCTTTTTTAAGTGTTTTGTCATTGGCGTGACGTTGATTTCATTGAACCATATTGAACCTGTTTCAGGTCACTCCAACGGATGTGGATTGCATCCTGTACTTCGATTGCACGAAGCTGGGGGTGCTGAGCCAGGCAGAGATCAATTTGATCGGTGACTATGCAGAGAAGACCTTGTTCCGGAACATCCAGCGCCTGATGCTAAGTTTCTTGTTGTGCCCAATTGAAACCACTTAAAGAAGTTGGTTCCATGGGTGAAGTACAATCTAGGATCTGTGCTGGTCTTGCTTCCGCCTTTGCTTTGTGGCAGCGAGAGTGGGGGATCCCTCCGTGGAGACTACAGGAGACTTGGGTTGTTGTTATGTTTTTCAGACTGTTTTTCAGTTTCAACCACTAGCCACTAGTGCATCAAGCTGCTTCAATAGATTCAGCCAGGAAGATAGAGAATAAGCTTATTGGATGCAAGATCGAACTTCGCACAGTGTGCATCAACCTGAACTTGGCAGACATCCATGGAAACCGGGAGATGCCAGCAGCATTTCCAATATGGCTTGGAGTCCCAGACAGTGCGCTTCCACTCAAGGGGACAGCGCACAGATCAGTTCGTGGCGCACCTGTGCCAGATTCTGCCACCAATGTGCTTCTTGGTCCAAAGCTCAATTTTTGCCACAGAATATGTTTGGTATCCCAAAAGGCCCAAAGGCTTCATCTTTGCCCAACCCTTTTTTTGTTGTCTTGGAGCTGACAATTCAGGTTTTGCACCAGCCAGTTGTGGTTGCGGCAGAGCCTGAACTCAGAGTCCTTCCCCAAAGCTCTGGATGAACGAAGCTTTGTAGTGCCGGGGGAGGCCTTTTTGTCGCACGACACGCGAAGGTCCCTCACGGACCTTCAAGAAACCGCTCAATGGTTGGGTGGTGCTGCTGTTTGCCAATCCATCTTGGAGTCACTGACAGGTTGGGGGTTGGGACTGTTTCCAAACACGTGTTGTTTCACTACTGCAATAGATGCCACATTTTCATTTGGGCGCCCTTGCAGGTGGCAGGAAGAACTTTCATGCTGCAGTGGTGTTGCATCCAACTCTGTATGATGGATGTGTTGAGATAGCTAGTGTCCGTGCTGGCTTCAGTGTTCTGTCATCATCCGGGCAGCCAACCAACCACAACTGTGGCAAGGAGATTGTGAAGACCCACCTGCTGGAGGTAGGGCTTTTTGAAAGACTGTTCAATGTCCTTTGGGTCATTTGATGTCATTTGAGTCATAATTGTTTGAATCATTTTGAATCATTTGATGTCATTTGTTGTCGTTTGTGATTTTGGAACGGTCAGGCTTGGAAGGCTGGCCGCCCGCCCATGGACAAGGCCACACCACGCTACAAGCCTACTGCTGCCCAGGAAGAATTGCCAACCACACCAAGCACGCCAGACCTGAAGATTTGCCAGTTGGTTGGTGGCAAAATGGTGATTCCTCAAGATGTGAGGAAGGCTTTCCTCACATGCCCTGTCTGGGGGCCAGAATGGCGAGATATTTTGAAGAAGTTCGACAATGACTGGGGAGTTGCAATTCCTGATCCAGTGTCTGGGCAAGCGCCAGCTCAAAGCAGCGATGAGACTGCTGTGGATTCGCATGGTTTCTGGGAGGGCTACTTTGCTGGTGAGCCAACGACCTACGAGGCTCTCAAGAGCAAATATGGCAGTGATCTCACTGAGATTGCAGGTGTGGATTCTGCCACGTCCTTTGTGATGGCCCCAGGACCTGCCTTGTTCATCAACGCCAAAGAGGCAGTGAAGCTCAAGAAGTCTGACAACGCCTTGATTTCACATGGGGCTGGAACATGGCTTTTGGCTGACAAGGCTGACAAGATCTTGCGAGAGCAGCCAGGGAAAGCCATTCCGTGCAGCTGGAGCTCTGATCAGGGCCTTGTGATCGTTGAGGAGTGGGCTATTGTCCTTTTTTTGCTATGTCCAGATTAACTTTTTTTGCTTGTTCAAACGATTTTTGCTATGTCCTTTTTAACCTGTCCCATGGACCTTTAAACTTTAAACCTGTGTCCCATGGAGGATGATGGCACAGACAGCGCTGTCATGACACTTCGTAAAGCATTGCAGCACTTCGAGGCAAAGGGCTATGTTGAATATACTCTTGGTGGTCATGTTTGCAGCAGGCCACCTAGTGTTCAGCAAGGCCGTGAAGATGATTGCTTCGACATCCAGCCAGACACATCGAACAGTTTGGCTTGGAGACCAAATGCAGTGCCTACCAAGAACCTCAAAGCAGCAAACTTGGCAAGTGCGTTTCCATGGCCCATGCTCGAGAGCAGCCCATTGGAGGTGGTGCCTTGCATCACTTTCTTGAGCAATTTTTTGGTCTATGATCGGTGTTTGTCTTCTCTTTCAATCTTCCATCACTTTTTTTCCTGGAAAACTTTTGTGTTGTCAGGTGTGGAGGCTGCGTTTCTGGGCGAATGAGAAGTGCATTGCGCCGGCAAAGCCGCTTTACCATTTGCCTTGCGACCTTGAGCTTGCCAAGGGATCCTGCAAGCGTCTTGTGTGACATGCCTGACTGGCATAATGTTGGCCGGGGTTCAGGGCAACGTGATGCCGTTGCCTGTTGTGGTTTCTTTCTTGGTTTGATACAATCAAATCACACGCCGGGGGCTTTCAGTGATATCGCCAGATATCCACACAGCCTATGCCAGAGAGAGCGAGGTTGAGGAAAAGTATATCTGAGAAAGCATTGTATTGATCATTCAGTATTGCTGTCCATCCTTTTTGAGAAAACATTTTTTGAAGCTCTTGTTGCAAGGCGTCTCAAATCATGTCTTTTGACATCTTTTGAACCTTCTGTGCAGTGTGTCTCATACCAATTCTGGTGACATCCTTTGAAACTCTTTACCAATGTGTCTCACACTGCTTTTATCATTTTCGACATCTTGGAGCGTTCTTTACAGTGCTGTTTCTCATACCGACACAGTTTGAAACTTCCTTGAGTGCTTTTGATCAAACAATAGCTGGTTTTCACCGCCATTTGTCACCCAGTGTGGAGTGATGACCAGCTTGTTCACCCAAATTGTGGTGGATGATGATGAAATCATGGAGTATGAGCTGAACCCTCAGGCCATGAAGGAGCCAGTGGCTACTCACCGGAAGCGGCACCATTTCCTGATTCACAACACACTTCGCCCCAGTCCATCTACGTTCACAATCGGGACTGTGCAGCCTTCGCTTGTAAAGCCAGTTGGGGTTGAGGATTCAGTGTTTGCCCCAGAATCGTCACTTGGACTTGGTGGTTAGTATGGAATTTCTTGATGCTGTATGGTGTATATACAAATATATATATTCAAGAATAAGTCAGTGTACTTCCAAAAAAAGTCTGTCAAACCGTGTCCCATCACTGCTCCTGAGGCCGAAGATGAATGAGGGACGTCGTGTCCTGAGGCGCTTGGCTAGTAGCAACAACATCACTGGCGATGACCCCAAGGACTTCAAGAATGACCCCCAAATGCCTTCCTTCCAGAATGACCTTGAGGATTCCCAAGTGCCTTTCGACCCCACCTGCCCTATGCATGATGAAGCTTTGGCAGGGCAAGCACCAGTTCACATGGACCCCTACGAGGTGAAGGAACCTGGCCAGCAAGGACCACCGCCTGCTGTTCAGACTGAGGGTGACAAGAGTGCTCCAATGCCTTCCAATCCCAAGATCGACGCCAACGTTTCTGATGGTGTGGATGCTCCACAGTTGAGTAGTGAGGAAAAGAAACGTGAGCTTGCTCGAATCAACAGCCGCAAATGGCATGCAGAGTGGATCTCGAAAGGAGTTCCTCGTGGGACTTCAAACGAAGAACCTCCAGCGGCCCTCAACCCAGCAGTGGCTCCTTCTCCAGCAGCTGCTGCCTCCCCGGCTGTAGCCTCCTCGATGGCCAAGGTGCGTGAGAAGTTTATCACTGAGTGGATTGAGGCAAGTGGTTTGCCTAAGTCTCAAGACCGTTTTCGTTTAGCTTGCAAAGCTTGGATGGAAAGCACCACCCGGGCTGAGATCATGAGCACCCGTATGGGAGTGCAGCGTTGATTGGGTTTGCAATGATGGTCGAATAGATACGGTTTTGCAACTTTGTGATTCGTCATTCTCTGAATCCAGTGTTCTTTCAAGTCTGTTCCACACTGCCCCTCAAAAAAGGATGTAGGTGAAAACTGTTTTGCCCAATCAGCGACACCAAGTGTGTCCTTTACCTGTTGCATTGGGGAGAATGCTGCAGGGATGATCGCTGTTGAAAAAAATCATGAAAAACAACTCGAGCACTCTGGGAAACTCTTGTCACCACTGCTCCCACTGATCCACCACTGGTCCACCGCCCAGGCCGGGTCTCCTTCAAATGGCCATTGCAAGGCTTCGTGGTGCATACCCGCGGTGACGCGGGTCGTGACGCGTGTTCTGAAATATTAAGTAAAGAGATATCTAATACACTTGTATATATATATATAACTATATTTATATATATATTTTATGTGTTTGTCATACCTATCTAAAGGTCGAAATATGTTGGTTGAAATCGAACGTGTGTTTGGTTTGAAATGAAAGTTGAGAAGCTGAGAACCACAAACACGACACCCTCGACATTCTCTCTCTCTCTCTCTCTCCCTCTCTTTCTCTTTCCTTTTCTCTCTCTCTCTCTCGACACCCTCGCACGAGGTGGATTGGTCTCGACACCCTCGCAACCCAAGACCAGGCGGCCTGAAGTCACACGTGTATAGTGTATACTTTCAATGAGTTTGGGAGTTTATGTCATCTAAACTGATCAAATGAAAAGAACTTGTGTGCAACACATTCGGAGCACAAATCTCTCCAGCTCTCCAGGCTCTCCAAAAAGTGATGAACCAGAAGGCCCAGAGGTTACATGGGAACGCGTGCTTGGGTGCGCAAATGCCAAGGAGAAGGTGTGGAACCTGTCTCACCCATGGATCCGAGAAATCTGGGAATGTGATTAGACATATAGGTTTATGTTTGTTTTTTCTTTGCATGGGTGTAGCTCAAAGCTCAAAGCTCAAGCTCAAAGCTCAAAGCAAATACTGCCAAGCTAACATGGCCACACTAGCCATGCATCAAGTACACTTTTGCTTTGTGATCCTGGGTGCACTGTCAGTGTGCAGTGTTGTCATGGTAGTGGAGCAGGAGGGGAATGGAAACCAAATCCACCAGGTGGATGGGTGGGTGGGATGGGAATCAAATCAGGGGCTAGATGCCACCAATTGGGGGCTAGATGCCACCAATGTAACTTTTATCTTTGGCATGTCTTCGTAGCAGCCTCCTTTGAACTCTGTCTTGGGACGCAGCTGCAATACTTGCAAACCTCAATTGCAAGTCAAGTGGAATGATTGCAGGGGCTGAAGTGAGAGGCCAGGTATCAATCCTGAACCTCCTACTACCTCTCGCTAGTCCAGGGTCTTTGCTCCACATGGCTGGGAGGCGGTAATGCCCTTTGTCGCTCCTTTCTTGTCCCTCGACCGGCATCCCAAGTGCGCTATGACCAAGCCAAAGACTTGAGTAGACCAAAATTTTGCCTCGCAGGTGTGAAGAGCTATTGACACGGTATTGGTCACTTTGAAAATACCCACAAGGTCGTTGGCGCGTACGCATTCTTTGGTACAAGTTGTGCCGTGCCTCGCTTCGCATGGACCTAGCCGAACCTGATTTCAACCTCACTCTTGCTTTCAGTTTGCTCATGCATACGTATACGCTGTGCACCTTCGGTGGGATACCTTCCTGCCTATAAGCAGAATGCAGCAGAATGCAGTTTTGTCCTGGACGTCCTGTACTGAGAGCGGCTTGAGAAGAATTCATCGCCCCGTTTCACTTCTGTGTTGGTCTTCGGATCTGCACCTTTTGCTCTTTAAGACTAGAGCGGACATGAGCCTGATCTGCTTGTTTCTGTCGTTGTTGGGTTTTTTGTTTGTGTTTTGTGTGGTTTGGGGGTTTTGGTTTGGTTCCGTCGCTTTCGTTGGTCAGGCTCCACACTCCTCATACGAATTCGACTCGGTGACTTGTGCCTCTCGGCACACATAGCGCCCCTACCCGTGCAAAAAAAAATGCCAGCAGCTTCAAGCGCTGGCGTGCCCCCCGCTCGTCCCTCGCTCCCAGAACCGAGGTAAGATTTGCCTCCGCTGTTTTGGACTCACATGCTTTGGCGCAAAAGGACAGGAGGCCGTACAGCCAATAGGCTGGGTCAGCATACAGCGACAACCCCATAGGGTCAGAGTCCTTGGCCACATTCGACGCGGGTTTGAGGAATGCAAAGAGCGACGCTAGTCGTTTGGCCATTTCGCCACAGATATTATCAATTTCATGGCAAATGTCTTTCATGACCTCCCGCGGCAGCTGGCGAAAGTCGACCCCTCGAAAACTGAGCTCAGCAACACGGCGGTAGAGGGTAACCCCATGCAGCACCCCAATGTGACGCAGCTGGACACTAAGGCGTGCTAAGGGCCACTCCTGCGGCAAGTTAGTATACAAGCTGACTGGGGGCGCCGCCGGGGGCAGAGCCTCGAGCCTTTCTGCAGTCTCTGCACTTGCGCGGGCAATCATTTCGACTGAAAGTGTTTGGTAACGATGTACCATTTGCATCGCTCTCTGCTCTGCAATCTGGGAAATTTCGGTGTCCACTGATCCAGACTTTTTCTTTCCACGAGTGCGGACGCCATGTGGGCGGAGTGCCCAGGTCATCATTGAAGGAAAAGGAAACACGAAATGATGGGGGGGAAAGGAACACAAGCAAACCCCAAACCAAACAAAAAACCAACCAAACACCACAACCGGACAACACAAAACCGACGGCCAGAGGCCGAGTCCCCACTATCAAGGAGTGTTTCCTCTGTACGGAGGTGAGACAGGTGAGGAAAGATTGGCTACGTACTATCTATGGGCCTGAATTCGCAAAGAAAATCTGTCAGGAGAGGTCAGCGCACGAGCGGAGTGCAACGAAGCCAATCAAAGGGGCTTCGCTCCACCCTCAAAACTGTGACCAAACGGCCACTGCAGCGAGTGGCAAACCATGGTAATTGGGTGCTTTGCAGGGGCTGCTTTGGTTGTCAGCAGGTCTGATTCCTGCCCAAGGAAATCAGTTGTTGCAATGCCAAGCATGCCGAGGAAAAGTCCCTTCTCGTTGCACAACCCTTTCAACTGATTGCACGAACGAATCGAGAGGCATATCAGTGGTTAGGCAGTGGAAGCAGAAGCAAACGAAGAGAGCTTGCTGACTAGGGTGCTGCATTCCCCCGCGAAGGGAGGTCTCCTTTGCACCCCTTGGCACCCAAGAAGTGCCATAGAGGTATGTTCTGTTCCTGAAAGAAAGAGAGGTGCCATCGTGAAAACATCCTCCTGTTACGCGCAAGGCCCGTGTGAAACAGGTGAAACCGTGGACCTATCCTAGCATGGCGCTTGTGCCTCTTTGTACAAGATTGGCCATGGCGTGGCAGCCGCAGAGAGTAACTAAGGTTCTCCCTGGGCGCCTTCCATTACCATTCTCTACCACCCGCCTTTTGGGAACGAGAAGCTAAGGCTCTCATTCCTGTAGGCTCACTGAATCATAGATGGTGAGGACGAAATGGTGACTCTGCTTGAACTTTGTTAAGCCTGGCAAGCATAATCGAAGTGGCGGAGGAGAAATGCACCACCACTGTTATTAGAGCGTTGCCGGCCTAGGGTAAGGCTTCTCGAAAGTCTTCTCTCCATTGGTCTTTGGCATTTGGCGGCAAGAATCGGAGCCACTTGGGCTTGTCTAGTTGCTCACATTTGTCAAAGGCATTGAGCCGGGCATATGTACCTCGCCATGTCTTGCTTTTCCCTTTTTTACGAACTGCTCGAAGTTGCGTGCAACCTGCAAAAGCACGCCGCGCAATGTAAAGCAGGGATGGTGGGATGCAGACTTCTTGCAGCGAGGTACACTTGAGAAAGGCTTCTTGCTCAATGATTCGTAAATTTCGGGAAAGGCTGAGTTGCTGCAGCTGTGAGCAGTGTGCAAAGGTTGAGCCCAAAATTTCAATGACGTCCGTTTGGGACAAATCAACAGTTTGCAGTTGCTGGCAGCTCGCACAGGCGGCCGATCCTATCCTGTTAAAATCTGTTGGCAGGGAGAGCGCGACAATGCCTGCTTCCAAGAAGCAGCAGTCGGGCAAGCGTCGGTTCGGATATGCAGGACCACACTCTGGCACGCCCAAGTTGAGGTGACGCAGGGCCGTGCACCCTTGAAACACTCGAGGCCGCAGTTGTGCTTGGGGCTAGTATATTGCCAGGGTATTGAGTCGTGCCTATTTGTGTTAGAGAGCAGCGCTCCTCAAAGACCTTTGCGCCGAAATGTTTGCAGCCAGGGGCTGTCACTACTCGTAGGACTTGGCATCTGCTAAAGGCGCCGTGCAACAGGCTAACGACCGTTTCTGGCAGGTGGACTACTTGCAGCCGTCGACAGCTCCTCCACGCAGCTTCCCCTACAATCCGAATACCGTCCTCGACTGGGACATGACGGACTTCCGTGTGAAAGGAAAAGGCTTGTGGTGGGATTTTATCATTCCTACCACGCGGCACTCGGATAGCCTTGGCTTCCCCTTTGAGTTGCCCTTTGTGTGCTGCTTCTACAAAACATTGTTGAGCAATCACATAGTAACAATGGTTGGCACTCAGTTTACTCTGTATGGGGTCTGCTAGGACCTGGTGGGTGTCTGTTTGCGCAAATTGCAGTTCACACCCGAGGGTGCTATTGCATCCTAAGTAGGGGAGCTCTGCTAATACGGCATTTTCAAAACCCAGAAGGCAGGCATGTGCATTCGGATCGACCGCTGTGGGTAGCTCCTCACCTGCCAGTGTGATGAGTGTTAGGGGCGCATCATCTGTCATGCTCCACATTTGCGATTCACTAGCTTGAGCCCATAGAAATGCAGGGCAGGAGTGTTCAGTTTCGACCGGCCCCGATTCGGAAACGGCAGTTACCCCTCCCTTAGCTTGTGGAATGCATCTGTGTATGGACTGTGAGGTGCATCAGGATAAGCGCTTACCTGCGCTGGACCCGAGCTAAGGCTCGC